GGAAATTTTCCCAGCTACAACTTTGCTCAAGACCACTTTTTAATTAAATGCAGGGATCGAAAGTTATCAATGGTTCAATGCGCTGATGTCTTATGATCATGCTCAATCAACTGCTCAGCAGACAACATTGGTGTTTCTGGGGCGTTGAATAGGACACACAAATCATGGCTACTATGTCACACTGCAAAATACAGTGTTGCCTACAGAGCAGCTGCTTGATCATGTCATAAGTTTACCAATCTCTTAAATTATTAATAACTTTTTCTCGTTTTACATAGAAACAATCTTCAGCAAAGTTGAAGCTGAGAAAATTTTCTATAAGAATGGCTATCGAACTGTTTCGCAACCCAATATGGAAAAAGACTAGAAGGCAATGAACAAAAAGTTGAGATTTCCCATAGTAATTTACATGTAAACTTCAAATGTCTTGTGCGAAGTCTGTTTCTAACCAAATGAGTTGTAACTTTGAGAGGCTAATCAGGACCCGATTTGAAACCATTTAAGCACTGTGGAGCGAAAAAGTCAAATTTTGCATCAGTCTAACGTACATGTTGTAAATAGTAAATAGTAAAATAAGAATGAAATAGATCTAATCCATACGCCAAAAACTATGCCAGTAGCAAAACGACACTGGTCGATTTACTATAAAAATAGAATGTCTCGTGAGTAAAGCCACTCGACCTTGTACAATTTCTCCCAAGGCCGAGTCCAGTGAAATCTTCGGGAAAGTTGGGAAAAGAGAGAGTGTGGCTACACCCGACTTTGAACGAAGGACCAGCGATCGGAATAATCTCTCGCATTACCGATCTCGTTCGAAGAAGTTCGCGGGAAAATCGAACTTCCGTTAAGTTCGGCCGAGGTCACCTTCCCTAATCTGAGGTCACGGTTTCGCTTCACTTTCGTCCGAACCGCAGATTGCAGTGGAAGTGTTTCGTTTTGTTCGCGTGATTATTTCGTTTTGTAAAGTGAGTCACGTTGTACTTTTATACTTCAATTCTAATTTCTCCTCGTCGTTGTTTAGTTATAGTTATAAATCTAAACGTAGTGTGCGTCTTAGGCTAGGCTTTGTGTGTGCGAAAAATAAGCTAGACCAGGTAATGTGCTCGTTAAAAGAAATCTGTGCATTGTGCTTAATGTTCTTTTCCCCAGCCAACGGCTACGTTCACGCTTCCAACGTCAGCATCTGCATCCCCGGGGCGAATAATCCCGGCAACCGTCACCTTGTCCGGTGGAAAGCGATCCGCATCTACATCGCTGAGCGGGGCTTTGTGGTTCATCCACCCACGTGGAAATCGTTGGCCGTTCAACACCAACGGTCGAACGCGCATCGATCGAAGTAGCATCGTCGCCGCGCCAGTAACAGCAGCGCAGCAATCATCAGCAGCTAAACCAACTGGTGAGTCCGTTCTGTTTTTTCGTTGAGTGTGGCGTCCGGCGAGGGCGCCACGGAGGACATTTTTTGCCGACCATAAGGTCGAAGAGCATGAATTGCTAACATTTGGAGAAGTCCAAGAATTGTAAGGTTGGGTGTCGGTAAGACAAACGTGCGCACGTAACGTCATACATGGATGCCCACCCAACCCATCAATGTTAGACACCCGGGTGCCAAGCTTTGCCGTTCCCCGCTTGCTGCATCGTCGTGGGATTCGTCAAGAAGAGACACAAGAGCACAGCACAGATAGGTAGTTACGCACACAAGGATAGGACCAGATAGAGAAATAGAATAAAGAGGAGTAGAAAATATACAAACAATGGAAATTTCGTAAAAGCATGCATTAGTTCATAATAAAATCTCAACTTACCGTTTTCCGTTGTGAAATAAATGTTTGATTTGAAATTGATGTAATGTTGTTGATCAGTCCTATCAAAGATTAGAATGGGAGGAAAAAAGTATCTTTACGTTGTTTTCGGGTCCGTTTAATTGTTGTTGTCTTCCGCATGGTCGGAATTTGACTGTTATGTTGCGTACCTCTTTTACTGCAGCTGCGCCTCTGGCGGAATTTAAGGGAAACTACCGATGAGGAGAACTTGACGTGGAACGTCGTTTAGGGTTTGTGTATTCTCTTACCGGGAGCTGTTTGGAGTCATTTCGAGGTTGTGAGAGATTATGCTGTTTCGTAATAGAGGTTTCTAATCGATAAAATTCGGTAGTAGTCAAGCTGGCTCGATCTCTTCTTTCTAAGAAGATTTTCACTTGGACTCGCCCTGGGGCAGTCTCATCCGGGCAAACTCAACGTGGCCTGCGGTCTCCTTTACCGGAGTGGCGCTTAAGCCGCAGGCTTAACAGAGATCGGCCAGTGTCGGCTACAAGTTACTTCGTTTTGCTTTTAAAAATCGAGGAAATATTTCATTTCAAGGAGTCATCATCCCGCTTCCATCGTGTCTTGGGCTGGAATAACTCACACCGGTAAAACCCCGTTGATCTTCATAGACAAAGGAGTGAAAGTGAACCAAGCAGTGTATCAGAAGCTGTTGACTGGCTCAGTACCTCCCTGGGCATCGCAGCATTTCGGCAAGAACGATTGGATTTTTCAGCAAGACTGACCGGTTATCGATATACCTACTTACGAAACCGAACTTCGTGCAACTGTTGTACTCGGCTTCTGCAAGCTGCGTACCATACTTGTTTTCAGCAGTCCTGGCGCGAAAGTAACATTTACGTACCTTACGCAGACGGTTACGCAGATTACGCAATTGCGCATTCCGCCACGGTTGTTGGAAATGCATAGAATGTCTACGAGCCTTTACCGGAACAGTATCATGAATTACTTGATAAATATTGTCATAGAATTTTGATGACAAATCGGGGAAAATATTCTGATATTCTGATCCTTGGAAACTTTTCTGAACTAGATTTTCAGAAGTCTTTGAAGAATGATCAAAAAAATTTATGGAAAATTCCAATGGAAATTTGAAGAGAAGGAATTCTAGGGATAACATCAATATATTTTAGAGAAGAATACCAAACTACACACTATGAAAGTCTCATGTAAATTGAGGTGCTCTGTGTGGGCTGATTTCTTCACGTCCTCTTATATCCTAAACCTGGTTTAAAGCGAAAGCTGAGCGTTGCTTTTGATATTAAATGATTAAAGACGCAAAATTCAGCTCAATAACAATTTTGGGAAGAATTTCAATATAATTGAGAGAAGAGAGTTCTAAGAAGAATTGGATGAGGATGCAATTCTAATAAGTAGGGGAAATGGCTCTAATCCCTAAAAATCTGCTATTTATCAATTTTATCTTGATGAACACGTCATTGGGACGGTACTAATGGATAATTTTGGTCGCTATTGAAAATTTAGTCGATTGCTGAAATTATGTATGGACACAAATTAGGGGCATTTAGGCCGACATTACATCCATTTCCCCTATTCAAAATATGTTCTGATTGTTTTTGAAGAGAGCTTTGATGAGAATTCCAAGGAAATTCCGTGAACTCCAAGGGTAATGATAATGAACTCTGCGAATAGTTTAAAAATAATTTTGAGAAGTTTTCTGAGGATAATTCCAGAAGAATTGTGAAGAGTTCGATAGAAATTCTGAAATTAATTTAAATGGAATTGAACTTTGAGTATACAATCTCAAAGGAATTCTGAGAATAGTTTAAAAGGTATTTCAGTTGGATTTTAGTTTTGAAAATTCTGAATTCTAATATTTAGGGGGAAGTCCAAGATTATTCTGAACAGAAATTTAAGCCATTTCTAAGGTTAATAGCCGGGGATTCTGAGGAGGATTAAAGTAAATTTAAAATTGAGTTATGGTAGGAACATTCAGGGAATCCCAACAAACATTGGAAGCAGCATGAGAATTCAGGCAAAAATATTGCTTCTTTATGCAGGCTTATTCAGCCTTTAATCAGTTCGAATTGTTTGTTGGGATTCCTTGAAGAATCAATAACAATTTCTAAGATAATCAATTTCCAAGAATTGTGTGGATTGTTCTGCAGAGAATTTCAGTAATGCCATATTTTTTTAAAGCTTATTTCAGATGCTTTAAATAAAGGTGGATAATTTTAAAAAAGTTCTTGAGAATATTCCGAAGAAATACTGTTAAAAATCAGCACTACCAGCGCTAAAAGGTGTTTTGAAACATGCGGGACACGATCTACAATAGATCCAGCCAGTTCATCTGTTTCGCTGATGACGTAGACAAGGTCCGAAGAACATTCCAGGCGGTGGCAGAGCAGGACGCCAAGCTGCAAAGGTTGGATTAAAGGTGAATACGTCCTCTATCTGTTGGCTGGAGAAGCCGAGCGCGAAAGAGAGCTCGCATAGGCAAAAGTGAGATAACCGACGGGTTGCGGATGAATTTGTGTACCTCGGATCATTGGTAACTTTGGTTAACAACTGAAGCAGAAAAATTGGAAGACGCCTTATTATCGGAAGTCGTTCTTAGATACCACAAGGCTTTGAGGTCTGATAAACTTCACACCCGTACTAAGTGTACCATGTACAAGACGCTGATAAGACCGGTAGTTCTCTATGAGCACGAGACGTGGACAATACCTTAGGAGGACCTGCAAGCACTGGGCGTTTTCGGACGACGTGTGCTTAGAACCATCTTTGACGGGATATGTGAAAACGGTGTATGGAGGAGAAGAATGAACCATGAACTGGCACATCTCTATGGCGAACCCAGTATCCAGAAAGCTGAAAGGGTACAATGGGCGGGACACGTTGTAAGAATGCCGGACAACAATTCCGCAAAAATGGTGTTTGTCTCGGATCTGACCGCTATAAGATGCAGAGGATTACAGCGAGCTAGGTGGTTAGACCAAGTGGAGCAAGTAGTAGGGGTGCCAGCTATACGAATTCTAAATGGCCCCGTTTAATTGCTTCAAACACAATTGATTGTATGGTTCTTCATTGTTTTTGCTACCACAACCAACAGGAATTTGAAAATCTTACCACTCACAGGGAAAATGATCGATAACGACGATTACCGTTATCGTCCGGAGACTTGGCTGTATTATACTATTGCACCTCTACTAAATAAGCTTTCACACTTCAATTAAGTTCCGTTTATATCAAACTCTTATGAAATACAATGAATTATTTAAGAATAATAATTATGCATCGCCTGTCCAACGTCACTTAAGTGCACATTTCTTCGTCCATGATCTTGGAAATCCATTCAGGTTCAGCTGCACTGATTTTTTCGATTAAACCATTAACCTGATAGCACAGACTTTGAATTTGCTTGTCCCACTGAGGCAAAATGTCACGAGCTTAAAAAGAAAATATCCAATTAGTAATAGGTACTTTCGATATACGACAAATTTAAAACTTACTTTCGAAATGTACCACCCCATCAATTTGATCGATATAACCATTCATGCGACCTTCGGTGATCATCTGGCTGGCAATACGTTCAGCCTTATGCGGAGGAATTTCCAGCAGAGAGCCCAACTCATCGAAGGTAATATTGTTGTACAACTTACTGGCCGACAGCAGATTGTGTTCGAACACTGCCCGATCGAGGATGGTCGAACCATCCACGGTACACGCTTTCTGGTGAGCTTGAAGCAATGCTTCGAAGTCCTGCAGCTCCGACCGACGAATGATGCGGTCGAAGTACATCTTCTCCAAAATCGAGTAAGCCGGTAGGTGCTGACAACGTTCGTCTTTGAACAGGGTAGCCAACATACGAGACCGTTGTTGACCAGCTGACGCAAGAACGGTACAAATCAGCGCTTTCTTCAGAGCAGTCATGCGTTCTCCTTCGTCAACGATGGTACGATATGACAGTTCATTGTACCGTTGAGCCGCTTCAATGAACTTCCGACGATAGTCAAGAACACGAGCATAACACACTTTGTACAGAATTTGCAATTTTTCATCTTTTGTATCAGCCTGAAGGATAGAGGCACGATTGATAAAAGCTTCAGCCTGTACGGGATCCTCGTCTTCCATGTAAAGACGTGCTATTTTGAGATACGTTTCCAGCTTATAGTCCAATGAGTAAGGCCTTGTGTAGAGAACAATTAAGGATTAGTTAGTATCTACCACACATATCTCCATTTAACACTTACTTCTGTCCGGTCTCGAGCGGAATGCCACCGAGTACGTTAGCGGCTTCCTTCCAATTTTGATTACGTTCGTAAATCTGTGCCAGATGTTGGCGAATGCTTGCCACTTGTTCCTCAAATGAGATCACACGGGGTTGCACTTTGTCGAGCGTAAAGTGTGACACTGCCTTGGAGATATCATCCGGCAATTTAGTCAGATGTGTACTAACATCGGACAAGACTTGCCGAGAAATGACCAGACTTACATGTTCGTTGACAACTAAAATGAAGTATATAAACGATGAAAATATCCGATCCAATAGCCATCCTACGATACTCACTTGCTTCGATAAAGAGTTTCAATGTATCCACCAGCTCATTGCCAGTATTAAGCAGAATTTGATCCAGCAGACCCCGGTACTTATCGGCTTGCTCCTTGTGGATTCCCGACGAAATTGTTAACGACGCTAGCTGATTCCGAAGGGACGATTGAGAAATGGCCATGGTTGGTCGCAAATTCCCACAAGGAAGCACTTATTCGTTGGTTACGCCACTAAATCCGTAACAAAGGTACAAGAATACACTTTTTATCGTCACAAATTTTGTGAAAGGCAACCGACAGAAAAAATGTTTTGGTAGATTGACATGTGAGTATTTTTCATAATCACGCCGAGTTAGCCCATAATTCTTCACAGGGTCGTTCATATATTATGTAACACATAAGGGGAGCTCATCAGTTAATGTTCTACAAAGGGTCATTTATTTTGTTTACTTCTTCTTTTTGAAATATTCTTCGATCATCATTTTATAAATGTGTTGGTAAAATTCATTAGAAGTGCATGTCCCCACGCCAAAACTGCCAATTTTTCATAAATATCAACTGGTATGGTGAGGAAAACTTAACCATAGAGGTAACTCTAAGACCACTGGGTCCCGAAGAAAATCATTATTATTTTTGGCTCACTCAGTACTAGAACAACGGTCCCAAGCAGTCCCAAGCTATTTCACTCACCCCTGCATGTTCTGCATGAATCCACACACCCCTGATGTTATCTGTCAAACTTTCATAGTGAATCAAAACAAACATAGTGTAGTAATAGAATTTCTACTAGAATAGGGTACGTTAATCGTTTGCTTGGGACCAATAGGCTACTAAAGTGGTGAGCCAATTTAAAATCGTTAGTTTCGTATTGATTGTTGACTTAACCATCTCTTAGTGGATATGAATGTAGCAGACAAAACATTCACACTGCCAGACTGCGCTGTATGCAAGTTTGTTTACACCCCTGAGCGGAAAAGTGAACACTCAAAAATATTATGAAACGAATATAGATTAAAAATTATGCATTTTATGGATTTTCAAAATTTATACATCGGTTCGATTAAAATTTTCGTCAAAATTATACTAAGTCCGAATAACAAAGTGGAATTCGATCAGTGTTTTCTAAAATGATAGCAAAAAGATCATCTGGATTCTCTTCGGAGCTTCGTGCTGGTGAAGAGCTTCGTTCCGGCGGATTTATACAGCGCATGTGATCAGCTGGGCAGCTAGACTGCGTGAGCACGAGTTCATCCTAATGAACATCGAAAAGGTATGTATTTTTTAATAATATTCATAAAAATAAAATAATTAAAAAACCTTCCTGAGACAAGTTCAATTTTGATTTGAAAACAATAATATTTACCATAAATAAAATAAAGAAGGGAAAAATACATTCTCTCGAATAAACCGTATCTATGCATTGTAAGTATATTTCAATTTTATACTACGGAACGCATAAAACATTTTTATACTAAGTTTACATTCTCTCCCTTTATACCGACCTTTGCGTCGGTACGGAGAGTTGCGATTTAGCGTAGTTTTTATATTATTTAGATTTCAATATTTTTTTAGTGAATACCATCAGGCTACGTGCACTGCTGCCATCAACCCTGTTAGTGTTGAATTCAATCTTCTGTGACTTTTTAATTGGACCCGTAAAATGCCTTAAAATGGTCATTTGTTTTATTTAATCAGTTTTTGATATTTATCCACCATTAAATACATCTGCTCATCTATGTTAATGCGTCAGAATTCACAATTAATTGTTTTAATAAACTTAAATTCATTGCTAGAGGCAATACATCTGGCACTGCTGTTTCAATGTTAATTTTCACGATTGCTAGCAAAGCAATAAAGTAGAAATGGTTTTCTTTGTGATAAATTTTGTTCACCAAGAGTTTTGTGAAGCAGTCGTTTTGAGTTTCGTGTATTCGATTGCGTTTAATTGGGTTCTTTAAGGGTATTGAGGTAAATGCATATTCGTAATCTGCATTAAAAGTGGAACCCAAACCCAAAATTCCATCAATTTTGGTACACTGGAACTATTTTAAATAAGTACGATTACATTTGCAAAAATCACCTTATTAGCGCCCCTCGGTGTCACTTTGTATGGGAGCGAGCTGTCATTTTGCTAGTTTAGTGTCAAACAGTGAAGTTATTATTTTGCTTTAAATTTTGATTTAAAAATCGAGATGAAAGTGTGTGGGCTCGAAAAAAATATCGCTGTGCCCAGAAAACGAAGCTCTTTAAGATGATGTATAAAAACCGATACATGTTTTTTTTTAAATTAAAGAACCCAATTGTGCTATACTTCGAAGAACAAAAGTAAGTAAATACAGTGAATGTGTTTTATCCAGGAATTTTTCGATTTAAAGTTACGAAATACATGTTTTAAATTTTTGTGTTCATAATATATCCATGTATGTGTAAACTAATGATGATGATTTTATGATATTTAAAAAAGAAGAAGAACACAAAATTACTTACCCTTTGTAGAACCTTAATGTTAAAAGTTATTACTCCTAATTTAAGGGGTGGGAGTTTTAAGGGTTTTAAGAGATCCCAAGTAACAATTTCCAGTTGAAGAAACGCTTTTGTTTTGATTTTGTTCAGTTGCATGTTGAATAATAATTGCACAATGTGTTCACCACAACTTTTATAAAACCCTTGTTTACTCTGGTTTGGAGAACCTATACAACTGCAACACAAAGGTGTTGTCTAACGTATTCAGTAAAACGTTTACCCAAAATCAATTTCTTGTTGAAGAAACGCTTCCATTGTGATTTTATTCAACTGCATGCTGAATAATAACTGTACAATTTGTTTATTACAACTTCTGTAAAACTCTTGTTTACACTGGTTTGGAGAACCTGTTCAACTACAGCATTATATGTATACGCGGTATAGGAGTAGAAGCAACTTTTATACAACGTTTATAGATACATATTTAAATTCAAGCTTTATTATTTTGGTGAAAGCTCTTATACAACGTTTGTAGACACTTCTTGACAGCTGCTTTGAAATTTAGTAGAGAGTAAACCTGAGAGGCGTTTGTTGAACTCTTTTATGACTCCTAAATAATCATTGTACAGCAAGCGGTGAAAAGCGTTTATAGCACTTTTCAATGACTCCTTAACAACCGGATAGAAGCAACTTTTATACAACGTTGATAGATACATATTTAAAGTCAAGCTTTATTGTTTTGGTGAAAGCTCTAATACAACGTTTGTAGACACCTCCTAACAGCTGCTTCGAAATGTATTAGAGATTGAACCTGAGAGACGTTTGTTACACTCTTTTATGACTCCTAAATAATCACTATACAGCAAGCGGTGAAAAGCGTTTATAGCACTTTTTAATGACTCCTTAATAACCGTTGTGTAAGTACTCACAATATTCACAGATTAAAATTAGTTTAACAACCCAACTAACATTTTTTGCAATGTAAACGCTTTACTCATATCATTTATACAGCCTCAAGCTGTATTCAAACGTTTTACGATATGAGGAAACCTTTACTCAATCTCTATACAAACAAATCTGGCGAACTTAGTCAGCTACTTATGACTGTTGGGACGGTTGTGACAAGCTCTTATTGCATATCCATTAACGCTTCAATACAGCTGTTATCCTGCTGTTTAGTTGTGTGTGAACTTGAAAGGCGCTTACTCAACCTTTTCCCGGGTATCCAATAATCACTACACAGCTTTCTCTTGAAGCCGGGTTAAATATTATTTACGCTTCTTTTTGGAGGAATTGATTGAGTTTATTTTGCTGTGCAAATCAAATTATTCGAAATTAGCTATAAGCACACCACCAAATTATTTACCCTGCACCGGAACCTGGAATCGAACTTGAGACGACCGTATTGGCAAACCTTGACACTACCAACTTCGCTACGCCAACACTTTGAACTGACGTAAACAAATATACATGACTTTCTACAATAATACCGTTGAGTAGAGGCTTTATAATAGTGCACATGAATCACTTTTCTCGACTAGTTACTTCAGCTTTGTAAAGGAGCAGAGTAAAAGCTGTGGAACTGCACACGTCTAAAAATAAAACCTAGCTGACTGTAAAATTGCTTCCAAAGTAGCACTAACACAGTTAATTAGCTGAGTACAGGTTGTTTCGTTATTGAAAAAGCACTTTTGATGTTTATGTTATTAAGCAAGAGTGGTTGGTTGTGTAGAAGCCATCAAATGAGTAATATATTCACTTTGTTAGCTTTGTTTTGCAGCTACAAGTTGAAAGTTGATTAGTATGTGTATAGAAGTGACATTAGCGTTTATTGGCTGATGTAATTCAGTGCGACTGACAAATTGAATAAAGGGTGTCTACGATGAAATTGCCACACACAAAATTGATTCGCAAAATTCGAGTTTTCATCCGATTGCCATCAAATTTTCAGGGATTGCGAATAAACTATTAAACTTCATTTTACCATTTTACTCGTATTTTATTTACAGTCCATACGCAAATGCCCGCACCTTGGCCTTAACCCCGGCCATAAGATTCTGCACAACCTGTGAATCAACCGTTTTTTGCATGTAAACCCATACTTTCTTCAGTTCCTCGACTGTCTTCACTACCTTAGGTCGTTTAAGAAGGTGCTGCTTCATAATCGCCAAGTACTTCTCGATGGGGCGGAGCTCCGGAGTGTTGGGAGGGTTGAACATTTTCGGCACGAAATTGACCTTATTGTCCGCATACCACTTCAGCACGTCCTTGCAGTAGTGGCATGAGGCCAAATCCGGCCAGAAGATTGTTGGGATGTTGTGGGCCTTCAGGAGAGGAAGCAGCCGCTTCTGGAGGCACTCTTTTATGTACACCTGTCCGTTCATCGTGTCCTGGGTCACGAAAGGTGCACTCCGCTTCCCGCACGTGCAGATGGCTTGCCAAACCAGGAATTTCTTCGCAAATTTGGACATCTTCTGAGTGCGGACATGCTCCGGAACGCTGAACTTATCCTTGGCCATGAAAAACAGGTTGCCGGGGATCTGTTTGAAGTCGGCCTTCACATATGTTTCGTCGTCCATGATGCAGCATTCAACTTTCGTCAGCATGTTGAGGTACAACTTCCTGGCACGGGTTTTGGCGGACTTGTTCTGCTTCTCGTCGCGATTAGGGGCCTTTTGAACCTTGAGCGTTCGAAGCCCAGCCTTAGTTTTGGCCTTCTGGACAAAACTTCGGCTTAGGTGCAGCTTCTTAGCCACATCCCTATCGGAGGCGTTCGGATTTCGGTTGAAGGCCCCAACTACGCGG